CGAGGACGCGGTTGTGGAGCGCGAGGCGGGAGGGGGCGAGCGAGGGGAGCGGCTCCGCGAGGCGCACGGAGCTCGGGGAGGGCGGCGGGGCCGGGGGCGTCGCGACGAAGGCGCCCCGGCGGCGGGCGCGGCGGGAGGCCGCGGCCGAGGCGGCGTCCGCGTGGGCGAGCGGGAAGAGCGCCGGCACGAGGCGGCGCGCGGCGAGCGGCTTGGAGAGCGACATCTCCCGCGGCGGCTCAGGTGCGCGGAAGGAGACGAGGGTTTAGTTTAGGCCTGTTGGGTCTGGGAGGGCCGGAAGGAACAGAGTTGGCACTTTGCAGCGGGTGCCTACCTGACGATGTGAGGCTCGATCGACTACTTACTGTACCTGGTCCATGATGATATAATAATTCTACTTCCTCCATTCGGAATTACTTGTCACAAAGATGATAAAATTGGATGTATCTATAACTAAAATACATCTAGATACATTCATTTCTTTGATGAATAGTTTCAAACGGAGGGAGTAATAATTAATACCGTAAAAATTGGAAAACCTATTTTTTTAAAAACAGTACAGACGCAAACGCTTATACATACGCGCACACACTCATCCCTATGAACGCACACATGCACACCCTAGCCTTATGAGCACCTCCGAGAGACTGAGCCGGCATATCATCTTGAGATTTACAAAGTCACTATAGGCGCCTCGTTGTCGACGGGAACGTCTTGTCCCACTGAACGAACATCGCCAGAAATCTAGAAATAAATCCAGAAATAATGCGAGCACCGGGACTTGAACCCTAGTAGACTGAGGATACCACTGTCCTGCTACCATCCAATCACAGGTTGGTTCACAAAAATTAAAAAACCTATTTAATCGAACCATGTAAACCATATATCAAATGCACATTATTACGAAGGAAATATGCCCTAGAGGCAATAATAAAATTGTTATTTTATATTATCTTATTTCATGATAAATGTTTATTATCCATGCTAGAATTGTATTAACCGAAAACTTGATGCATGTGTGGATACATAGACAAAACACTGTGTCCCTAGTAAGCCTCTAGTAGACTATCTCGTTGATAAAAATGGTTAAGTTTCCTAAGCATAGACATGTGTTGTCATTTGATAAACGAGATCACATCATTAGGAGAATGATGTGATGGACACGACCCACTCGTTAGCTTAGCATTATGATAGTTCAGTTTTATTGCTATTGCTTTATTCATGTAAAATACATATTCCTTCGACTATAAGATTATGCAACTCCCGAATACCGGAGGAATGCCTTGTGTGCTATCAAATGTCACAACGTAACTGAGTGATTATAAAGATGTTCTAAAGATATCTCCGAAGGTGTTTGTTGGGTTGGCATAGATCGAGATTAGGATTTGTCACTCCAAGTATCAGAGATGTATCTCTGGGCCCTCTCGGTAATGCACATAATAAGAAGCCATGCAAGCAAAGTGACTAATGAGTTAGTTGCAGGATGATGCATTGTCGAACGAGTAAATAGACTTGCCGTTAACGAGATTGAACTAGGTATGAAGATACCGATGATCGAATCTCGGGCAAGTAACATACCGATGGCAAAGGAAATAACGTATGTTGTCATTACGGTTCGACCAATAAAGATCTTCGTAGAATATGTAGGAGCCAATATGAGCATCCAGGTTCCGCTATTGGTTATTAACCGGAGAGGTGTCTCAGTCATGTCTACACAGTTCTTGAACCCGTAGGGTCCGCAAGCTTAACATTCGATGATGATATTGTATTATATGAGTTATGTGTTTTGGTGACTGAATGTTGTTCAGAGTCCCGGATGAGATCACGGACATGACGAGGAGTCTCGAATGGTCGATAGGTAAAGATTGATATATAGGACGACGGTATTCAGACACTGGAAGTGTTTCAGAGGGTACCGGATACATATCGGGTCATCGGAAAGGAGTTCCGGGCAACCCCGACAAAGATATGGGCTTAATGGGCCGAGGGAGGGACATACCAGCCCACATGGGGCTGGTGCACCCCTTTCCCTAGCCGCAGGCCCTAGAGGAGGAAAGGAGGGGGCGCCACCTCCTCCTACCTTTCCCCCTTGGTGGGAGAAAGGAAAGGGGGGGGGGCACCTCCCCCTTCCTTCCCCTCATCGCCAAAAGAAGGAAAGGGAGGGCGCCGACCTAGGGCAGGAGCCCAAGTAGGATCCCTCCTACTTGGGGCGCCCCAAGGCTGCTCACCTCCCCCTCCCACCTATATATACATGG